AAAGGGTGCTACTATAAATATGTAATAAGAAAAAGTGTACATTCCGAATCGAATAATTGAAGCATATAATCTTGTTTTCTCATGTATCCAAAAATTAAAATCTGACACTATTCATGATGTGTTTTGTTTCCTTGCTGAGAAAAATTTTAATGTTCTTTCAATTCTTGAATTTTCAGTAGTTGAAATGGAGTGATGCTGCTTCAACACAGGCATTGTGGTTTATCTAATACATTCATTGTAAGTTACCTAACAGAGAGTACCGAGATATACGACATCCGATAAAGAAAAATGCCAAAAATTGACAGTGCTGGTTGTGATGTTTTCTATCCATCCATCCCATCCCTGTGGCGCTACAGCCCATGTAGGGCTTTGGCCTGCCTCACTACTTCCTTCCACTCAGACCTAACTAATGCTTTTCTTTTCCATGCTTTTATGTTTTCTATAGTTAGTATAATATTATATGTTAAAATAATTTTGTCATTATTTGTCTTGTTTGTTCACAGAAAGAAAAAAAAGACGAGAATGTGTTGTAATTAAATCCAGAGGCGTAGCAAAGGGGGGCAGATGTCCCAGTTAGGGGCGCCTAATAAATAAATAATGGGATTGAGAGTTGAAAAAAGTAAAGGGGGCACTTTAAAATGAATCTTTTCCCCGGGCGCCAGACACTCTCGCTACGCCTCTGATTAAATCACACTTCTCCCTTTGGCTTCCTGTGGGTCATGTGTAAAACTCTGTGAGACCCATTGCCCTACAACTAGTCGTCATAAAGTATGTGTATTATTATAAAACTGATTTGTTTTATCTGTAGCATCGAATTTTGTAAGCCAATTTTAGCTCATCTTGAGTTCTTTGACACAAATCCAAACATATGATTCCTATAAAATTCTATTTTTCACTTATGCACCCATTAGGCCATCATTTTTAAGCATAGTTTTTCAAATCTTGAATTGTGGTATTGCTTCAACTTTTGTATAATTGTATGATCACAGTCAACATTAAAAAAAATGAGGCATACTGATCTATACAGCCACATCTTTCATACCTCTTTCGTCGATATCACTTTGAAAAATATGGGCTGCCTTCTTTGTGAAAACTGATTATTGATTTTTATACAATCATTTCATTTCTTGGAGTGATGTGCATATTCTTTACTGAGAATTTTTATACAATCATTTCATTTCTTGGAGTGATGTGCATATTCTTTACTGAGAATTTTTATACAATCATTTCATTTCTTGGAGTGATGTGCATATTCTTTACTGAGAATTTTTATACAATCATTTCATTTCTTGGAGTGATGTGCATATTCTTTACTGAGAATTTTTATACAATCATTTCATTTCTTGGAGTGATGTGCATATTCTTTACTGAGAATTTAGGGTGGGTTTTTTACTTCCATCATGTATTATAGCTGAGTTTTAATACATTTATTAAAATTGCCATTCAGATATCTTCCATAATTCATTTAGTTTGTTTTAGAATGTTAGACAAAGAGGAAAAAAAAAATGTCTTGCTACAGTTTTATGTTAGCTCTAGGACTTGCAAGTTAATAGATATTTAATGTTTACATGAAACTTACTCAAAAGGTCACAACATAGAGATAACATATTTTAAATGTATTCACTGTCTGGGTCTCTAAATAGTATCTTATAAATAATGACTGAAACTAAAAGTTACAGAAAACGATTGACTTTCCCTCCGATATACTTCTTGTTCATTGAAAAGTGATGTTTTGTTTTGTTGGTCTTTAAAATACATGTGGCTCCTTTAATGAACAATTTTCTCCCTATTCATTAATGAGTCTATGATTCTCATACGTCATCTCCTGACAACCCCCCATATCTCAACATCACTCAATCCCTGACAATCCCAACCCCAGACAGCGTCCCATCTCCTAAACGCGCCCCCCCCCCCCCCACCCCCCCNTTATACATAATACCTACTCATCAGTCTGTCTATGTCCCCATACATAATCATACATTAGAACCTAAATATCCCACTGTCCTTTAGTGCATATTCCATACGTTTATAAATAAACTACTTTACCTCTTGATGAGTCTTTGTCTCCACCCATCCAAATATGAAATATGATCCAAATATGTCCCCTGATTACCTTAACCCGCCCCCCCCCCCAAAAAAAAATCATAAAATGCCCATCCCTCAAGTGTTACTTACAAATTACACAGAATTTGTTACTTTTTACTAACTCTAATCAATTATAATTATATCAAGAATAATTGACACATGCTCTTTTCTATGTATCTATTTGTTAATTTAACATAGGCTGGGAAATAAGAGCTGTGAGGACAGCCATTAATTGACAAGTCAGAGTGGAGCTATAAAATAGATAAAGACTTCTCATCTTCATATTTACTCCTACTTTTGTCTGTCACTTACATCTCTAGTTGGAAACATCCCCTCATCATACTCAATTGTCATCTGATTTTCTTGGTTAAAGTTAAAATTCCCTGAAGAAACTATCAAGTCAGTATTTCAAAATTATAATTCATAAATTGCAATTTCAGATTTCTCAAAACATTAGACCTGAATGCAATCTCTAATCATTTTGTTCCATGATGTCTAACCTTTCTTGGGCTCTTTGTAATCTCAAAAAGAGATCCAGATACCCCAAGCTGAGAACTCTTAGTGAAACTTATACAGCAGCAAGCGTAGAACACCACAAATTAGAGACATTTTCTGCAGCTTACTATTTATCATTTTCAGACATACCTTGTTCAAAGTGAGTTCTTCCTTATCTTGACAATATTTGTTGTTGCACTTCAATGTCTGACTCCCAGAACCTAAATTTTAGTGGCAATCACTAGTGTTTAGTAATAATCTCATTCTGAGAAAATATTCGATCTACAAAATTGTCCTTAGTTTTTAGAGTTTGGAGAGGTCTCCCTCCTGTGACATATGGTTGTGACATCATTTTTACTCTTGTGCAGACTAAAACCAGTGATTTTATTGTATGTATTGTAGTGGAGTTCACTGATTAATTGTGATACTGGCCACTTGGCGTCCCTTTTACACATTAACCATTTTTATTTACTTGCATAAACTAGGGCAGCCATTTAAATGCGAACAATAAAATTGTATTGTCCTTATGAGTCCCAGTCAACAAAACAAAAACAAAAAATCAACTGTTATTACATTACATCATTTGTGTCCACAATGGATGATATGGGAACACTGGTTTAGCACTTCCAGCAGCTCTGGAGTTTTCATTTCTGTATGCAGCTTTCACACCTACTTTTGCCACTCTCTGCCTTTCTCAAAATGGACTCTTTAGAAGAACTGACGTTCCCGACCAAAAGCGTAATGATATCATATTTATTGAATTACTTTTAACATTGTGTCTTTGTTGTATTTTTAAAAAAAAATAATTGAAAATGATATTAAATAAAACTTTTGAACTCTGACACAAACTTGGGTTATTTCTTGCATTCAGCATATTGAATAAACAACAAAAAAGTGGGAAATAAAAATGTATAGCCTATAGAGCTACATAGTGGAGGCCCACATAATGGAGGTTGACGCCTACATAATGGAGGGGTTGATCCACATAGTGGAGGTTGACGCCTACATAATGGAGGGGTTGATCCACATAGTGGAGGTTGACGCCCACATAATCCACAAAGATCCCTCCAATGAGTGAACAACGTTAAAACCTGAAATTTAATGAACTGTTATTTGGTATTAATACTATTTCAATGAACAGTTAAATTCATGAACTTTTTTAATTGAATAGCTTTTTAAAGCTTTCATAACAAATCTAAATTGTTCAAATTTTAAAAAAATATGAAATAATGCAACAGATATACCTTGGTATTATTGCATGCAGTATTGCAGAAGCACAACTTTAAATAAGATGATAAATTAAACTGTACGTCACAAAATATGTATTTCTTTTTGCCATCCGAAGCATGACATTCTCAGGAACTTCAATTATTTTATTTGTGTATTATCAATAGAGCCTTGAACCTACTCCACCGAAGCAGAACTGCCATTTGGGCCCTGCAGCTACAGGAGGTCTCAGAATATTACAGGCTCAAAGTTGTGATGTGGTAAAAAAAAAATTTTGGATTGCATTGAATAGCTAAATACTTAAATATGTTGACAGTCTTTAAAATCTTTTACATTATAAATTGTGTAGGCAATTGGTCATCAAAGAAAGAACAGATACAATACTCTTTTTGAAAAAAAAAAAAAAAAAAAAAATTTAAGAATGTTTTTTTCGATCCCTGTTTTTTTCTTTGGTTTTTTGTTTCATGTGTGGGAAAAATTTTTTTTCCACCACAGTCTTTTAAATTTTTGGGTCAAACTTTCTAAAAGAGCACATTTTATAAAATTTTTTTTTTTTTTTTTTTTTTTTTTTTTTTATAAGGCATGTGATCACGTGACCAGTGTTGTTGCTGTGGTTACTGTTGCACGTGGCGGGCAAAGATTTTGACCACACAACTGTTCCATAATTTTGGGGCAATCGCTTCAAAAGAGCGCATTCCGTAAGACTTTTTTTTGTGTTCATCTACACTGGGAATTTTCAGTAAGTACTGTGTTGAGACCTCTACAGACAAAATGTAACACCCAGTTTGGACACACACCCCCCCCCCCAAACCTTTGCATAAGGTAGGGCCTGTGGCTCCCAAAATATTTTCATAATTTGAAAGGGCTCCTCACTCAAAAAATGGTTTACGACACCTGTCATTTTGTTTAGAATCTCACATTAATTTACCATGCCGATGAACGGAATCCCTTTCAGTTTCAGATACTTACAGATACTATGGAAATCAGATTTTATCAGTAACACTTCTGAATTTAAGGCTTCAAAATTGTTACAAATAGTGATATTTTATGTTTTTTGCTCCCAATTAATTGTTTTGCACCAGAATAAGCTACCTTTTTTATTTTACTTTAAGAATAGATTAATTCTTTCACGATATCCAGCGTCATGTTTTACTACAAACTGAGGATATTTTTAGAACTGTAACCAAGAACAACGGAAGTTGATTTAGCGTTTGTTATTCTTATTACTCTTTCAAGTTCAGTTGTCCAAAATAAGTTATATCAAACCATTTCCCCTTTTGAGCATTAATAAACTGGTGTTATACGCTATATACTAACTATGCCTCTAAGTCAGAATCCCAAAGAGAGTGGTAAGACTAAATTTATTACTTGCTGGTTTTTTTTTTTTTTTATTTAGGCCTATTTACGAATGTCAACGGAGAATGTTGTCACAATGTTGTTCGTTTAGCGTAGGTTATTGAATTTATACTTAATAAATTATAATTAAATATTCCTTTTTATTAGTATTAGTAGTATTGAGAATATTAGGCAGGCATACTAAAAAAAAATTCATAATAATTTGATAATTTTATAATAAGTTATCAGTTATAGTTATGTGTTTATGGAAGTTAAATACACTGTCACCAGTGAGGACAAACTGATAGTAGGCTGTATCCCTAAGCCATCCTGGCCTATTTACAAATATATTAACTGTTTTATGTAGTTCTAGTACAAATAATTGATTCATTATATAATTTTAGTTTTATCTTTTTTTTAAATTTGAGGCCATTAACCAGTGATCCTGTTTTAGTGAAGTATTGACTTGTTATTTCCCCTTTCCCAAATTAATGCTTAAACTTTAAGTAGTTAACTTTAAAGTAACGGTAGTTAAAGTGAATGTTAACAAAGAATGTGAAATAAAATAATAGGTTGTTGCTTAATTGCTGTCATCCTGATATTAACAATTTTCAAAGAAGAGAACATGAATGATGGAAGGTTTCTTCATATAGCATGATATGCTGGCATCCGTCCATTACAATGTGACGATGGAGTGGGCTTCAGAGGACGAAATCCACATGGCCTAGGATTATTCTTCAAGGACTATAAGCTGGTTCCCAACAGCAAATCGCCTCTCTCCACGCCGCGAGATAACCCAAGGGAACATCATTGGATGATACAGCTTGGCACCAGTGTTGTCGCAGGAGTTGTCAGAATGTTTCATTGTATCTATGTTATCCGCCTTTCGGGACTCCATCTCCGGGTTTGCTTTCAGAGTTTCCATCTCTTAGATGAGTTGCCATCCAAGGCTAACGAGTCCCATCCAACCGAGGTGCTGGTGGTGTTTTTGCTTGACTGATATAGACCACAATAAAAAATTATCTATTGATGAGGATCCCCAGCAATGACACGGTGGTGTATAGGACGATTGCCAACAGTTCTGACTGGGACCTGCAGAACAGAATGGTCATTGTTTAGCAGAGTGGGAGATGAGCTAGGACATCAAAATTTCATCCCACTAAGTGCCAGACCATGTCAGTCTTCAGAAGCAGATCCACACTACACAACCCTTAGGAATTGCATAGCCATATTCTTGAGCCAGTTTCCTCCATAAGGTACCTCAGTGTTACCATTGAAAAAGAGGACTTCAGGACGAGAACATTAACAATGTGTGCACCCGGGCAAACAAGACCTTAGGGTTCTTAAGGTGAAATCTGAAGATCGTCAACTCCAGCGTAAATAAAAAAGCCTATAAAGCATTTTCCTGCCACTTTTAGAGTATGCATCTTCAGTCTGGGACCCATTCACCCATTCAGTATGCTGGAAACACTGGGTGGGTCACCTTTTGAGGAACGAGGATGACTATCCAGGCTCTCCATGATGTACAAGATTAAAAAAATGGGCTGGTCCACTGCTCCAGTATTAAACAGAAACTCATCCCTCTCCCCTTAAACAGTGGCAAGGCCATAACAGGCAGTTCAGGCTCATAAAAACAATAACTCAGTTCAGGAACTGCTCATTCCTGCCATTAAGACATTAAGAGACTGGAACAAGCTTCCAAAAGCAACATATAAGGCGACTACACTTGACACATTTGCGTCTTTTGTCTCCTGTCTTCCAACCCCCAGTTCATAGTACCATCGCAGAGTAGCCCTTGCAACCAGTGAAGTATCCCTTTCAAAAACCATCCACAGTTACATCGCAAACCCCTCTACAAACAAAGGAGCCAGAATGATCAATACATTGATCATGGGCCCTCAAAATATAATTGAAGAAGACGAAGAAAGATGTCTGGAATTAAATTTTTTTGCTCAGTATAGTATAATTATACTTCGTTAAACATTGTTTTTTTAGGTACCATATAGAAAGATAGTATTTGAATAATGAATCAAAATCCCTGTGACCAGTGGTGTAGGAAGGGGTGAAGGGGCAGTTCCACCCCGATTGTAATTTTTTTCTTTTTATTTAGGGGATACATTTCTTTCCAGCTGCATAGTTTGTTTTGTGGACAGACGTGGCAGCAAAATTCTTGGCTTACTCCGGGCATCACTAACCCTAGCTGTAATGAAATAAGGGGCCATCTAGAAAGGGAGGAGGGTCACAAATTTTTGAATGTGTCAATAAGGTGTTTGCAAAAAAATAGTTTGAAAACATTTCTGGATGGCCCCTTAGTTCATTATTTTTAAAAATATATAAAAGTAAAACAATATAAATATATGCTATTTCATTTTTATTGTTACTGTATTTATAACTCTTTAGATTGGAGTGCTCAAACATTTTAAACAGGGGGCTTGATCATTTCCTTCAGACGTTGTTGGATGCCTTACTATATTTTTTTTTAAAATACAAATTAATTTCTATGTCGACTACTTTAAAAAGTCCCAAAAAACTGTACAAGCACAGGTTAACCATACAGGTTGGAAAGCATTACTTATCTTATTGGTAGTAGGAGGAAAAAAGGAAAAATGCAATATTTAAAATGGAGAACAATTTTATAAAAACTTGAACTTATTAGTACCGGTAAGCCTATAGTGTGGGTCTGGTATTGGCTAATGAGATGAGCCAGATCTAGTTCCATATTCGTCACTACTGCTAGTCATATGGTGATCAGTTGTTCCTGGTTAAGGACCCCTGGTGCTCTGGATCTAGCCTGGGGCCAGTATTTTGAGGACCCCTGCTTTAGATTATTATTTAACAATAACAGGAGGTCATTTTGTTTTAAATATAATATTATAGGAATGTTTTATATTTCCACTGGAGTGGATCATCAAAACTTCCAATGCATACCACACACTGTCTGTGGCACCATCTGTACTCATTATGTAATTGCTTAATTGTTGTGATTTTTTTAGAGGTTATATAACATAAATGATCCTCAACTTTTTAGCTGTAAATTGTTCGTAATCTGTTGATTTTAATTAAACATGGGAAAATTATTAAGATTCTGAGCAGCATAATCTTACTGTTTACAATGTTAATGTTTAGGTTGGTTCTATCATGCACCATCAAAAAAGCAAATCGGTGCACCAAAAGTTGACTACCCTGCACCCTCAAATATCCCAGGCATTGGCTATGATGACCCAGAATCACTACAGAAACAGGAAGTTCGGGAAATGGTTTTCAAAGAGTCAGACACAAATTACATCCGTTTGGCCAAGATGGGGGGAAGAAAAGGTAACTCTGATACAAGCTCATACCATACTTATTCTTGGGAGTAAGATTTCTGCTTTTTTATTGCTAACGGTAAACTGTTTAAATGTATGGAAAAAAATATCCATGTATTATTGGAAAAAGACAATCAATGCAAATGCCTTTCAGTAACCAGGTCATTTGGCCTTTTTCACCAGCTGGTAATTTAGCTGCTGGCCTCTCTTCTTTGCTACAAAAGTCTACCCAGACCATTTACTTAAAAAATGTCTAATTTTTCATTGAACTGCTACATACTTCACCAGATCTCTTGGCCTTCAAAGCTGAAGACCCTAGAAAGAAGTCTGCTGGTCCCGTTGGATACCCTAGAAATGACTGGTTCTATCTAGAAGACAACAGACGAGAGGATCAAAATAAACCAGAGGAAGAAAAACAGTTAGTATAGGATGTTACCATTAGTAATTAGTCTTCAACATTACAGTTAATCTAGAATGTCAACATTATTCTTCCATGTTACAATTGGTCATCAACATTACAGCAAATCTGCAAGTCTTTTAATTTCAAATTTTATTTACAAAAAAAAAATACATTTTTTATATTAGTTTATATATAAAATGAAAATGTATTTTGCTTTAATTTTGGTAGTGTTATATTGTTTTTAAAAAAAATTCAAATTCTATATTAAGTGAGTCATTTTAATTAAATTATTAATTTGTTAAGCATATTTTGGTTTAACTTTTTGTAGATTACAGTTGTAATATCTGATATCTGTGACTTAAATAATTTTTTAAAAATTAATGAATGGATGTCTTTCACAGGCCGTGGGAGTTTTTATTGCCGGAATACATGGTCCATAAGAGCTACAAACCATCTTTTGAAAATCCTAGCTCCAGGCCAACTCGCAGTGCTGCCCCCTACCACACAGAGGCAAATTCTGTGATACAAGAAGGGAGACTAGCCACAGACAAAACAGTAAAAATACCAGAGTTACGTCGACCAGGGTATGTTTTAATCTAAAATAAAATTATTGGAGTAGTTAAAATAAATCAGGTCCAAAATTCAGTGGGGAAAATCCATTGAAAATAACTCTTTAATGTTAGGAGGAAGACAAAGTATATTAAGATAAATAAAACTGTTATGCAAGTATACGAAAAATGCTGTGCAATGGTACCTCGACTTAGAACTGAATTTCTTCTTGACTGTGGTTCATATCTCGAAAAGTTTTTATCTTGAAACCCAATTTCTAATTACATCTTTTGGGAACCCAATTAATCTGTTTTCAGTCAAATTAAAATTTTAAAAAAAATAATAAAATTATAAAAAAGAACTACTCTCACCTAAATTAGAGAAATGCAAAGAAATTGATAAGGAGTGAGAAGGAGTATTTATAGTTTATTATTTATAGGCGATAAATATGAATTTTGTATAACATTACAAATTTTTATTTATAAAATCTTTGGTTTTATATGTAGTATGAAAATCACCTTTTATAGAATCGAAAAAGTATTTGCTTTCTTATAAGTGGTCATCATTGGCTTCCTTCTGTTTCTTTGGTGAGAAAGGTTTTTATCTACAGTATAATCCTTTCTTTGTTAGTACTGGTAGTGCATTCATGAACTTTTGTAAAGTGATTTATAATGGATCATCTCATATTTTACATTTTTTTTTCCCACCCTAGTCCAATATCTTAGAAAATTATTATCACTGATCTCTAACAGCTACGGTGTGAGAAATGAGAAGCCAGCTGCAGCTCCACAAAAACTTCCCCCACGCGAGAAACCAGCCAAACCCCAGGAGTCAGAGGCACTGCAGGGGGAAAGGAGGAAAAACCCTCAAGTAGCTGTGTAAGAAACTCATTGAAATACCAGTACTTATAAATTATAGAATTTTCTGCCCACGAATACTACTTTTAAGTTAAGTGCTCTTGTTTAATTTTATTGTTTTTTTTCTGTTGTTTTGTTCGCTGACGAAGGCTTCCTGCCGACATGTTCGTCGTTTTGTTGCGTTCCTTTTTTCAGGTTTAATCCTACTTTGTTTTACTCATTTTATTTCCTATTTCTCTTTTAGTTTTAGAAAGCATAACATTAACACTTAAAATTAATCTATGCTGTAATAATAAATAGGAATTACTAATGCCAGCCCTTATATAGTCATATTAAAAAATATATTGAAATATTGAATAGAAATTAAAGGAGCACTTAATAACATTGCAGTGCATGTTAAGAATTAAAACAAACTGATTCGTAATTGTGGTTTACTACTCAAATTAGTTACTACCCTGTCAACAGTTGCACTGCCAGTTTTGAATGTGTGTCTTGTACATTGAAACTTCTTTCTTTTCTAAATCCAGTGAAAATCCATACAAAAGCCATTATGGCCATGCACCTCTGAAAACTTATAAAAGTAAAAGCCACACAAAGTATAGATATACTGTACAGGTAGGCACAAATGCCCTTGGCACACACCATAAAAAAAGTCTCATAAATTATGTCGTAGCAGTTTTTTTGTAGTTATTTTTCTTTTACATCAAATTACATTGCTCAGAGCAACAGAGAGGGATGAGCCAACCAGTATGTCAAAGCTTTTATCTGGCGAATATGAGAGGGAGTGGTATTCAAAACGGGCAGAAGTACAGTTTCATCACGATGGGGGTAGCCACAATGACACATCTGAAATTGAACAAAACTATGGTGCTGAGAAAACACAGCTGTCCTCTGGTCACCACAGGTGAGAAATTCTTCTGCCTTGTGTTCTGTGAGATGGAAAATAAGCCATGTCCTTAGATGCTTACTTTATTTTCCTAGACAGTAGAGTATGTGATGCCCAGGACTGTCCTTTGTTTTACCACTCATAATTAAAGGGAAACACAAGGCATATAGACTAAGATATTTAAAAGTACTGCCCCCTCCTAAACCAGTAATCCTAGTCATCTCTATGAGTAAAAGCTACCTTTGTTATAACAAGTTGAAAGTTGTCAGATTTTGAATCAGACTTGGATGTTCTTGCCTTAAAGAAAGAGGTGGTTAACATCTTGATATCCAAGTGAATATGGAGTTTAAATTATTTTTATTTTCAATTTAATATTAACTACCAATATATCTCCTTTTTTAAAATTTAAATGTTATATTATTATTATTTTATTATGTAATAAGTAATAGTTTACCATTATAATTAAATATTATATTAGTCTCATAAATTTAATTTAATCCTGATAGTAGTTAAAGTTAATCCATGAAAAAATAGTCAATCTGCCAACACTGACTATGTAAGTTGGGAACTAAGTTATTAGTTATTAGGAGATCTACAGAGTGATGTATGCCTAATAGGTCATGACACAAAATGGTGTGGTCACTCTCAAGAGATTATCTCGATATTGATTTCTAATGTTAATTTACACATACACATTCACTTGATTTTGAACATGTATGGGGTGTTTTTGTCTGTTCACAGAAACCGTGCAAAGAAGGGGTATATGACCTCAAAGCATTGTGCACTTGACATTTTTGTTAAATTCTATTATGTTATGTATTATGTTTTATTATTATATTAAACTAGAAATAACTCACCACACAATGGCAGCAGCAATGCATGAACTTCCAATCTACTAAAGTTATTTGACAAAACATCATTTAAATGATTCACTTTATAAGAATCCCAATTGGTGCTAACTTCTGGGAATTCATTTTTTGTTGCACCTAATGAATACAGCGTTTAAGTCATGCATACAAACCTAGAGAATTGCTATTTATGATTGTTATATTTTTTATTATGATGTTTTATATTTAGTTTCAGTATACTTTTGTGTTGCTTTATTTTATATAAATAAATGAATTATTTTCCATTACCTTATTACCTGTTGTTCAAATATATTTTTGGCCTATTAAAAATCTGTTTCCTATTTTCAGTGAGCCAATGACAAAATTTAAATTTTGCTTGTTAGATTTAATATCTAATTAAATTTCAATTTCAATTCAGCCTCAACATTTTAGTGACACTCACACATAATAATGTTAAAATTCTGACTTATATTTTAGACGAGGCAGATCTGATCTCCAACCGAACAACACACAGAGAATGAGGACACACGAGGATGAGGAGAGGGAACCATTCAAACTTTCAAGGTAATTATAGACCATTTACAATGGTTAATGCTTACCATATCAATTATCAGTTAGCTGGTTCCAAGATGGAGAAACACAGTTCCCCCCGGGTGGCAGGAAACTTACATGAGTTAATTTGATATTTTTTAAAGGGAAATTATTTTTAAGTTTATTATCAGTGCAGCTGTTTTCTACTTACATAAAATAATTTATGTACCAGTATTGTTATGTCCTGTTGGTCTGCTATTTACCCTTGTAAACATTTTAATAATATTTTATCACTTAATTTATTTTTTTGTTTCATTGGTATTTTTTAAGATACAATTTTAAAAAATTTACCCGAAATTATTTTAATGATTTAAAAATAAAATATTCTTTATTAATTTTTGTATCCCAGGTTCAAGAACATTCCATCCAAAGTGGATTCCCACCAGAGAGTTGAAATAATGGCAGGAGTCAAGTAAAGTTACCAAAATTCTCAGACAACAAACAGCAGCTGTCTAGTATTATAATAAACCAGGGCTATTATATTTTGTCTGTTTTGATTTACCAGAATTTTTGTCGTGGATTTGTCACCGGATACTATAAAAGTAGCCACATTGTGTATGTTTCTGTTAACATGAAAATAATCCACAAAGCTTCACACAGGTTGAATTTTCTAGAGCACTTTTTTTTAACTTGACACATATCAAGCCCAGTCAATTCATGTGTGTAGATATATGAAACTAGCACAATCTGTCGTGAAGCAAAGTATTTCTAATGGAAGAGACAAAAGAATATTGAAAATATTTTATTTTTAAAGAAAACAGACATCGTGGTACGACTTTTTTAAGCTGATTGATTGGTTTAGGAACTTTAAAAAAAGGTTAATTCATTAATTCATATGATGTTTAAGATCATGCGGTCCCTCTTTCTCACCCCAGGGTAATATGGGGAATACTGCGCTCATGTTGAAGCAACCACCTTCACTTATTGTAGTGTTGACAATCACACCTGAGAAGGACATAGTCTTTTGTCTCTTCTTTTCATCAGTTTCTATGTGATGTTGAGTCTTATACTCTTTTTTAATATGCCAAATTTGTGACATGTCACTTGCCATTATCATGATTGTAACATTAGGACTGTCACACAGATAAAATATAGTACTGGTATTGCTTTCTAAGGTAATACACTAATAGTATTGGGGTGTTTGTTTATATGATATGAAAGAATTGTTTGGGTTAAGGGTAATTATGTTGTGCCGCATTTCAGAATTAGAAAGTCACATTAATTCTTTGTGTTTCAAAAAAAAAAAATGTTAGTGAGCCAGTGTGTGTGTTGAGTGTTCTGTTGTTGTTTGGGGGGAAGGGGGGGGGGGGGGTTGGTTCCATTTTCTTACTGGGTATTTCCAATATTAAGTAGACATTTTTTTTTTATTTCATAATAAGTTAAAATATTTTTTGTTTGGTTGTCACATTAATTCTTTGTGTTTCAAAAAAAAAAAATGTTAGTGAGCCAGTGTGTGTGTTGAGTGTTCTGTTGTTGTTTGGGGGGAAGGGGGGGGGGTGTTGGTTCCATTTTCATACTGGGTATTTCCAATATTAAGTAGACATTTCTTATTTATTTCATAATAAGTTAAAATATTTTTTGTCTGGTTACTGTGGTGACCTGAGAGAATGAAATATGAAACAAATCTATTTTTGTTATTTGCTGATTGTGGAGGTGGTTCAGTAGTTGGAATTATTTTTCCACATTAAATCATTTCATTTCTGGGAATTTTATATTTGTTTACAACTGCTCCGTCCATCAAAATTTATATACTTAATTTTTATTTATTAAAATTAAATAATGTTTTAAAACAATCAGTTTGTTTGCTAATTTTTTTAAAAGTGTTTAATGTATAAAAAATGTGTGCTACTGAGTGAAACTGAGATTTGCAATTGCATACAATTTATATTCACTAGAAATAACCCGTCAAACAATGGTAGTGGCAGTTCTGAACTTTCCATCTACTAAAGTTAAATTGACAAAATATGCATTCAAATTCAAGTACCGGTAGCCTACCGGTAATGCACTTTATAAAAACCCCAATTAGTGCTACTAACTTCAGTGAATTTTATTTTTAATGCCCACTGAACGCATCTTCACAATTTACAGCCATACCTAGAGAATTATTATTTTATTCCTTAAAGTCTGTAATAGCCTATATGTTGCAAAGTAAGATTATTAAGAATAGATAGTTCAGGTATATAAAAAAAAGCCTCTTGAATTTTGTAAAGAATATCAATGAAAAGAAGCATGCAATGTTTAAAGGCTGTAGCTAGAATACTTTTCCTCCCAATTCATTTGGCGTTCCTAAAAAATCCGGAAAATGCAAAATTGAGAAAAATGAAAAAAAGTATAAAATTGTGGGGTTTTTTTAAATTAGAGGGCTGCATGAACGATATAGGATGCATACACCATGTACATATACCATTCATGAATTAAAAATCGAAAACTAAGACAGAAAAGACAGAAAAAAAAAATTAACACACGAACCTAATACAAAAATATATACCGGTAAATAAAAAAATTCTGAAAAATTTTCCTTTGAGATATTTGTTTAAAAATCATCCATCATTAAGTAGAGAATGTCAATATAAATAAGCATGCAATGTTTCAATTATGTAGTTCCAAAACTATTCCTCCTGATTCATCAATTGATGTCAGAAAAAAAAATGAAAATGCTATATCGATAAAAGCTGAAAAAGACACTGACAAATGCTTATTAAAAAAATTAAAGGTTACTTGAACAACATTGGATGCATACATCATGAACACATTCCACTCGTTAATTTTAAAAAAAAATAATTAAAAGTACATAGATATATGATTGATAGAATATAAATTAATGCATTTTCCCAACAACCCAATAGCCTCGAGCCTAATAAAAACAATAATATCATAAAAACTTCGGAATTTTGTTTATGAGACATGTAATAAAAAAAAAACATCAACCATTATGTAGAGAATATAATAGAAAAAAAAAACCTTGCAAATTTTGAAGCATGTGGTAATAATAATTTTCCTCATAATACATTTGACGTCAGAGATAAATGGAAAATCCTAATTGGACCACTTTAAAAAGAGAAAAAAAATCAATTAAGCAATATTAGATATATAGGAGTCAAATAAAATGAAATTTAAAGCATATCAATGTGAAATTATCATAAAAGATAAGAATTTTCTAGATATGGTTACAAATGTTAAACAATATTGTAGAACATGATAATGTTTTTTAATAAGAAATCAATAGACTCAGTTTAGGAAACAAAAATCTGCCCAAGAAATATAATAAAAATGGTTATTTACACAATTTTGTAAAATAATTTTCAGCACATTAAAAACATTTACATATTTATAAAAGTAGCTTTAATCTTTCGGAACCAATCATTGCGAATTAGCAGTGAAAATAAATTTACAAGAACAAATCAAGAATGACGATTATCTCAGCAAGGCCTTTTCAAACCCAGTTGTTGGGTTCAGCTGTCTATGTTCTATGTACCGGTATTCACTTTTCTGCGTGTTAACTTGTCCGTTGGTTCACTAGTCCTGTGTTTGGAAGTGTTATGGTGAGATGTGGGTTTACTTGTCCTGCGTTCATTTGCGCGGCCACCGCAACGGACACAAGCCATAAAGTTTATGCAGCATTAACGATCAGAAATCTGCTTAAAGTAAACCTATACACGGGTAAGCCGTGGCGACTGCGTTGCTGCCCACAGCCTTATTAAACAGAAACATGGCAAGGCCGTGGAGGCCAAGTCGCTCTAGCTATGCTGACGTATTACTTTAGTGTATCAGAGAATGACTTTGGTAATCAGCAGACCAGACCAAGAAAACGGCGCATGGGCAAAAAATGGTGCGAAGCGAGAGACTCGGCTACGTAATAGAATTCCACCAAGAACAGAGAGCGACCAATTTCCAAGCGTTGGTTGATGTGTAACGTGTCCTCATAATGAGCAGATCTGGGAAACGTTACGAGCGGACCAGGGGTTATGTTGCGATATGTTCACTAGAAAGTTGTGCCACCCAATAAAAAACTCTTCAGCTCGCCGAAAATGCCGCCCCTCATTATACATTTTTTTAAAAGTGGGACCTGTGTGGACCACCCGGCCCACAGCCCCTTTCCTATGCAAGTGGATTGACTTTTTCCTCGACAATTATGAGTCATAGTAGGCAAATAAGCTATTTAAATGGTCTGTGGTTGGTCAGCTCTTATTTGATAGATGGAAATTAATTATTTAGATGCCACCTAAGTTGACTCTGGTGTGTGGTGAGTAAAATGAGAGGCAGTGTTAGTGATTTTATGTATCTGGATGGAGCCAAGTTGCTTTGTTAGTCATCTGTTTGCAATGGTGTTTATTTCGCTACTGACATATATTTCATTATTTTCCCGCTTTTTGCCTCTTAGTCTTAGTAAATCACCAGCTATTTATTGAAAAAGAAATCGAAACTGTCACAAATTTTAAAGAAAGGAAATTGACAATTTTATTTAAAGTTTTAACAAACATTTCTCACATAACCCCCACCCTCAAAATTCTAGCCTCGTTACGTCCGTAATGGATGTACAACCGTGCAAAGGAAAAGCAGCGCCCTGGGCGAATGCGCCCCCTGATATTGAGGTCCCTTGCGAGTACCACCTTTACATTGCTGTGCATGGATCCAGTGGGCTAGAAAGAAATATCAGACAAAGTAGATAGATCTATAAAATGTGTTAAAAATTATTTAAATCTAAATATATCCAATTGGGCAACTTTTATAACGTATCTTTGAAGTCAGAAGAGTTCTCCTTGTTTTCCCACAATGGCGTCGTAAGGGACTAAAGATTCATGAACTGTAGGCAATTTTTTTTTTCTTGTTCAATTTTGTTAAATGGTTATTGTACATGAACAAAAAGACGCTATTTTAGGCCTTTAGTTCCATCAGGTTAAGAGGAAGTTTTAATTTTAGATCACTAGAAATAATTAATCGCGCTTAAATTGCCTTAACTTGTCTTAAGTAGGCACTTTGAACTTTGATTTAGAAAATTAAAACTTTTTAAAAAAATAAACCAATGGCATAGTTGAATAAAGGTAATTTTTTAAGAATTATAACACCAAAATCATATTTTTAGCTGTTGTAGTTTTAAATTATGAATTTTAAAGTACGACTTAATTTGTCCTTTTTTAGCATGGACCGCATCTCCATTTTCTGGTACCCAATTCTGCTGTTGGCGTCATGAGCTATATAACTCTTGTTTTAATGATAATTTTATTTTCAGAACTAATGCTGTATTAAAAAAATAAGTTTAATAATGTTAACAATTATAGATAAATTGTAGCTTATCTAAGTTGAAGCTTTATGATGACAAAACGGAAGCACTCCTCATCCACAATCACACATCATCCTCTACCTCAACTCTTCCTACCTCATTTCAAGTAGGTAACTCTGACGTACGGTTTACACACTCTGCTAGGAATCTTGGTTATATTCTTTCTAGCAACATGTCTCTCGATAAACACATATCTCACATTTGTTTTTCAGCATACACCACTATCCGTCATATCAGCTCCATGCGCCACTACCTCACAGTTAGCGCTACAAAAACTCTAGTCTGTGCTCTTGTTCTCTCTCGTCTTGACTATTGCAACTCTCTTCTGTCAGGTTCACCAAAACACTGCATAGAAAAACTGCAGAAAGTTCAAAATTCAGCTGCTAGGCTAGTTTTAAAGGCAAAAAAACGTGATCATGTCACTCCACTACTCCATTCCCTTCATTGGCTAACTAAACAGGCACGCATTGACTTCAAGTTGTCTGTTCTCTGTCACAACTTTCTCTTGGATTCCTGCCCTTCCTATCTAACCGAACTTCTTTCTGTCTATTCACCCCTTCGACAGCTTCGCTCCTCTGCAGACACGTGTATTCTGTCCGTTCCCAAGACACACACTAAAACATATGGTGAACGATCTTTCTCTTTCTGCGCCCCCAAACAATGGAATTCTTTGCCACTACACATATGCAATATACCAACCACCCAGGCCTTCAAAACTGCACTCAAAACATATCTTTTTAAATTATACTACCCTGACTGATTCCCCTCCTCTAACCAATAAACGATCTTGCTGGCTGCCGTCGATCGTTTGCCTTGTAAATAGTAAGTGGTGGGGTGGGTGAATATACATTGCTGTTTTTTATTTCATAAATGTATTTTATTTTAATGTCATGATTATGTCTCTTTTGATAAAAATTTTATGTACAACACGGTCAGCCCAGCCCAGGGCTGGGGTACCGTCCTATATAAGACCTCTTATTATTATTATTATTATTATTATCTAACTATGCACTATTTATATCAGTAAATTTAATATAAT